GAAGGATAGAACCGGTTTATCCGCGAACTTTGCTAGAATCTCCGAGATGTGTGCTAAAAGCTGGATCACTGTCCGCCTAAAGTAGTTCTTCCATTATTGTTTCCTCACTAGAAAGATCATAAACAGTAAGAACCTTTAAACTTATCTTAGCAAAGGATACAGGTAATTAAGAATTATTGTATGAAAATCCCAAAAAATGCTTTATAGCGAAATAATGGGAAAAAGTTGAATAAAAACGCTGCTTGTGATGCCACGTAATCCAATAATCGATAGATCAAACGTTTGACTTCTTGATCCTCAATGACAATCCGCTAGAAAAAATGCTCCAATTAAAAATTCTTTATGAAATGTACTAGAAGATTGCTTTGCATCAAAAAAAAAACATCTTACAACCTAATCAAATATCAATTCATTACAGCGTATTTCTAAGCATAAAATTATAGAAGATTACGGTAAAAGAATTCCCTTTCTTCAGCTTTTTCTTCCTCTTTAGCACAAAGTTTATCCAGAACTTCTATAGAAACCGGCTATTGTGCGAATCTATAGGCATACTTGAAAAATAATAGTAGCTTGATGCTCTGACAGTGGGTAATTATTACTGATAGGATTGAGGGAGGTAAATGGTAAGTTATGTGTCCTTTATATGTCCTTTATACCTCAAGGCGAGAGTTGTACTTCTTTCAAAATTCCTACATGCTTAGTACTCGCTTAGGGTTGTACTATAGTCACATCAGCACGTCTTTAATAGCTTTCTTACCGAACTGCTCATAGTTCTAATCTCATTAAGATTCATTTCATCCCATTATTTTTTTGACTTCTCAAAAAAATCCCGTAGAGATTACGGATAAATGCTTTGTCACTATGCAATGGTGAAATAATAAAATACTGCATTCAATACTTTTCTAACAAATTTAACGTGGAAATTTTTCTTTCAGAATGAAATAATTCTTCTAATACGTTGCTTCAATGTATTATAGCATGTGTTTCTGAACTCGATCATTCCGTGAAATTGAAGCTGTCGCCAACATTTTAGAGATTGTCACTTCTTGAAATTGGATACAACGCTGAAGTGCTCCAAGGTCTTCAAAAGAAGGAAAGGGTGCAATGTGTGCAAATGCTGATTCGAATTTCGAATTTTGAACCTTTAATTCAAAAAATATTTACTTGAAAACTCTTTTAAAAACTCTACATTCCGAAATTGTTCATCCCTTATGGAAATTGAGATTATTTCTTATCTGTTTATTTATTTGACACACCAGGGTACCATATATAAAAATAAAACAAAGCTTAGAGCCATCAATTCAAAAATAATACAGCTCATCTGCATCAAATATTAAAAATAAAAAGTTAAAAACACTCCATATCTCAATCACGGACTTCGACAAATTAATTTTGTGAAGCAATTAACTCTAAGAATTTTCTCTAATCTTTCTTGAAATATAAAAGAGGTTTAGAATTGACTGTTGTTATCTCACAACGACACAAATAAGGTTTTAATGAATTGAAATACTAGGTTATCGATTGCTGCGATAACCGTCTTAC